TTCGTCTTCGGAGAATTCGTCTGCGGAAAGCGTCTTCGGGGTCTAATCCGTCTTCGGGGGCTAATTCGTCTTCGGAGAATTCGTCTGCGGAAAGTGTCTTCAGGGTCTAATTCGTCTTCGGAGAATTCGTCTGCGGAAATCGTCTTCACATTGCGGGAGGAGAGGTGGCTGTGCTTGAATGTGTCTTCGTAATGTGTCTTCGTCTGCGGGTGGAAAAGTGGGACCCCCACAGCGGCTGCAATGAAAAAATTACAGAAACCTCCCACCAACTGTGCTGCAAGCGTGCCAGATGGGCACATCCCCGTTGCAGCGACCAAAGAACCCAACCCAACAACGTCCCAACGAAACCAGGCCTGGTTTCACCAACGAGCGATCGGCACCGAACATACCCGGAGCCATGCGGCTGAAGGCCATCTGACAGAGTGGTTGTAAGAGCTCCAGGCAAGCCAAGCCCATCTGGCCTGGAAGGGGGAGGGGGTCGAACGCAAGCGGAGCAAGCGGAGCCAGTGGAGAAAAAAGCGCCCGCCCTGCCCGTTCGTGGAGGAGCCTTGACTCGGCCCCTGGAAAGATGATGAAATTGGCCCTGGAAACAGAGGGGTGTCATCCTCCCTCCCTCCACGGACCCAAGGATCATGAGTCCCAATCCATTGAGAGATACCAAAGGGATGGGTCTTAAGTAAAATGGACAAGTACCTGTGAAAGTACCTTCGGGTCAGTCGTGGCCCCTGTCTTTGTATTACAGGGTCATGTCCCATGGTCATGTCGGTACAACCTGAAGGGTCCAAGTAGATCCGGCCATTGGATTGGGCGATCCAGGCAGCAGAAAACCGGCTGCAGGGTGCTGGGAGCCCAGGATCTGGATCGCAGCACGCACATGAGTCTGGTCAGCTCAAAAGAGAGTTTCAATGTTGCAATAAGTCAAGAGGGTCACTCCCTGAAACCCCCATGTAAGAGGCCCCTTTCGGCCAATCAAGTCTACCACTAAGGCAGGAAGACAAGAAGTGTTGATTGACAAGGGCAAGAGATTAGAGAACCACGGAGACAAGCTAACCTTCTAGCACATCTAGCGAACAGTGAGTCGTCTACCCATAGTGATGGTATGCCAGCCTGCTCTTCCACCAGAACAAAGCTGTGTAAAGCGCTGCATAAACACAACCGAAGATTCCCGGTGTGAGTGCAAACAAAGCAGTCTTCCTGAAAGTTCAGGAACCTTGTCATGAACAGAAGTCATCTCCGCACCACTGGCCATGCAAGAACAAAAAAAACCTGCCTTTTTCAGGCCCATCTTCCACCAAATGACCAGGCCTGGAGGACCCTCTGAGACTTGGCAATGGCCACCCCTCCACCCCTCCACCGCTCCAAAAAGCGCCAGAGGAGTCTACCACGACGGGTCCCGGTCTCCCCGGTCTCCCCGGACGGTCCCAGTCTGACCGCGTCCCGGGCGCAGAGGTACTCCAGCAGCATCGTCAGATCTCGCGTGGTGGCGTCCGGAAGGATGTCCTGGCCGCGAACTCGGAGTGGGGGAGGGGAGGGAACCAGGCAGGGTGGTTTTGATGCAAGAAACGGGACTGGGCTGGGGAGGGAACCTGTGTGTGTGTGTGACAAAAATAACGGGATTTGGCCCCACAAGAAATGGAGGTTCCTGCCCAAGATAGGATGGAGGGTGCCAAAGTGAAGGCCCGAAATTCACACTTCAGTGCAGCTAAGTGTGTAGTTGAATCACATTCTTCATGGACCTTGATTAACATAATTAACATAGATCAACATGGATTAACACTCTTCTCCATGAAGCCATCTTCACCCATCTTCAAACCCAGTTCACCTGATGCCTGTGATGGTGGCTTCGCTTCTTCGTTCCTGGATCGCTCACTGAACTCAATTAAGGGATACGGATAGGGATCCTATCCATCTCATTTGGCCGTGTCGTTCTCTTGAAAAAGCCCTCCCCGCGCCCCAGCCAGAAAAAAAACACGTCCTGCAGCCGTGCCAGCACCATCTCTGTAAGGTTTGGATCTACAATGCCCCAGCGACGGAAGGCTTCCAGCAATCGGATGCAGCTGTTCCACTTGAACTCCTCGTTTTGCGTGAAACCATGCGTCTGACTGAACTGGACTGGAGACAGTGCAGAGAAGATTTCGAAAGCAGCATTGCCCAGAGGTGCCTCTTTTCTTAGGTTTCTTCAGGATGTCAAAACAAACATAGACACTGAGAACATGTCTGGAAGAGGAAACTCAAGTTCGCAATCAGCCCTGTATCCCTGTGTCAGGCCATCCATGCATCTTTGTTTTCAGGTCGGATGCTGGAATCATTATCTTAAAACTTCCAAACCTCAAGAAAAAATTCTCCAAACCAAGAGCCTTCCACGCATCTCCTCTCTTGCTTCCAGGATGTAGCCAATGTAGCCCATACAATCCCGCAGAAACCATCCCTGTTCTATGCTCCAGAATATGCCCACCAAACCCAACCCAAATCACCAATCGCCAGAGGCCATGGTGGGTGAGACCTCCCATCAAATGGCATCGAACTTCCCCCTGTTTTAACACACCGGCCGGTCGTCTCCGGCCGTTGGTCGTTGGCTCGGCCTGCATTTGCCGCAAGGCCTCGCCCCGCACGAAGTGTACGGCTTTGCCCAAGGGCGCGGCGTGTCCCGCGGCGTGTCCCGCAGGAACGCCCCGCACGCGCGCGGTGGCCAACGCGACGGCGAGGAAGGAAAGGTCCTGGAGAGGGCGTTGGTTGGAAAATGGGTTGGTTGAGGATGAATGATGGGATTGGGTTTTGGATTCCTGTGTTTTATTTTCAGAGATGCCTTGAGTTCGTTGCCTTCTGACACAGGACCCTTTACCTTTGTGGAAGACCAATGGTTTACAGCTTATATAACTACTCTTTTTGAAGACTTCCCCAGCCAAAAAGGATGCCATCATCATCCACAGGCGCTTCCAGGCGCCGACAGGCTCGTGTTCACCCGTCCACACGCCTGCGGCTTGATGGCATTGTGGCGCCCCACTGCAGACTGGACAGAGACGTCGAGTCAGTCGACAGACGGGAGGCCACCGACACGAGGTCACGAGTGCAGTCGACACATTCGGGGACACGGATGAAGAATGATGAAGACTATAGATATATACCCTACAATTTGAACCACCCTTGATGTAATGAGCTTTAGCAAAGGAACCATGAATTTTACATAATTGACTTAGGATCTTAGACAACAGCATCAAGTCAACCATTCCTTTAATGGTCCTTGAAGGCTAAGGTTTATATACAGTAATGGTGTGTAATTATACAAGTCTTTACCCACCCCAAAAAACAAGTGTTGGCAGAGGCAGTTTTCTCAGGCGCAGAAGCGGGTCTTTGTCCCGAGATTCCGTGCACGAAAGAGATGTGGCCGGTCAGATCCCGCAAAGGTTTGAATTTGTCCATTTAGACCAAACAAACAATGCAAGGTGGATGTAGTTTCTCAACTCACCACAAGCAGCACGAAATGAGCGAATTCCTCTTAGTCCAACTCTTTAAACCCGTCAGAATGGATTCCAACCCTTGACCAATCCTCACGGATTCCTTGACCAATCTCCACCCATCCTCAACCACCTGCTGCATTTCTTTGGCCCAAAAAAAGGCGGCGGCTTCCGCTTCCGTCCTCGACGGCGGAGGCCGCCCGAAACCGCCTCCACCAGGCGTTGCATCAGCTCCTCCACCTCCGCGCTGCGCGGCAGCCGCGCTGCGGCGTCGGCCAAGCGCGCCAGGGTGCCGCCGTCGCAGCTCTCCACGCGGCTGCTCAGTGTCTTTAGCCTCGGGGTGGGCGTGGGCTGGGTGGAAGGGGGCCGGGCTGCAGTGAGTGGGCTAAGCTTGAAGGGTTATGGCTGGAAAGACTGGGAGAAGAAAGCGAGCTACTTGGAGTTCTGACCTGTAGCATGGGGCTCTTGTTGGTGGCTCTTTTGGAAAGTGTTGAAGTTTCGGCAGGGTGGGTAAGGAGTGTCATTCCCAAGGCGACCCTGAACTCTAACTCCCAAGGCGACCCCTGATTCCCACGCTGAGACAAAAGAGCTGTTAACATCTATCGCATGCTGTGCACCTGAGGTTTGGCTTGGCTAGTAGAAACGCATCAGGGATGAGACTAGTAGTTCCGGTGGAGGACTTGCAGTAGATGTCGGGTAGATACAAAATATGTTAAGAACACTGGCGGTATCCTACCTCTATGTTGGTTGATCATTGTCACCGATTGGATGTTCTGATATTGGTGCTTTGCTTCATTGAAGGTCCAATTGGCCTTGGGTGACATCCCTATCTCGTGAAACAAACATTCATCCACAATGGCGATGTTCACTTACTACTAGCATAGACTCTGTTTAGTTTAGTACTGTAGAGTCTGGATTAATTGGTACTGAACGCACAGTACAGCCCCCATTGGGCTAGTGTAAACCCTCTTCATGTGCGAAATTCTGATGAATCACACATGAAGCCGATTCACACAAATCCAGAGGTGAAAAACACTAGTCCATGAAGGGCTTCACAAAGCCGACATGAAGCTCAGTGGGCCTAGTTTAGTCAACCCATTCTGATGAATCAAGGGGTTTAGTCAACAAGCAGATGAATCAACATGTTCAACCCAGACGCTTCGCGACGATGCGACGATGCGACGATGCTGAGCGAGCAGAATGGAGCCGCCCGGAGCCTTTCTGATTCGGGATGGCCTGATTTGCGAGGTGGATTCTTCCACATGTGCATTTCCATCCAACCAATTCATATACAGTATATACACTGGCATCTGGCATGTGTCTGGAACGCCCAGGGAATCTCTTCTGCAATCACTTGCATCACGTCCCGTCCCGTCGTCCCGTCCCACGTCGTCCTCGTCCCCTCTTCGCCGGAGTGCAGCACTTGAAATCGGCCATCTTGGCTGAGCTCGGTCTCTTTGGACCCTCCGTCCTGCTTCGCCAGGTAGACGAGCCTGGTTCGGCCCCGCTGGTTCCGCCCGCTACGGTGTGGGAGGGTTGGGAGACGACCACCCAAATATGAACGAATCAGATTCGTTCGACGCCCACCAACGCATGTTTAAATCCAAAGGATGTTAAGGCTTAAACCGTAGTACCTGCCGCCTGTCCTCGGACACAGCGCTATGGTGGCTCGATGTGGAATCGGTGTCCCGTCAGGACAAGAAGTGTTGCCCCAGCTGCCAAAGGTCCACCAATAGTTTGGTGCCAAGAATAGAACCAACTTGGAAGGTCCCGAGACCCGTCTGAAATGAGCTGTGGTGATGACAAAGGCAATGTTTGTATCCCTATGTATTGGTCGAGCGTAAACGTATAACAGAACTAAGCACATCACCACACAAATGTCGTTTGTGGACATCCTTGGGTCCTTGAGCAAAGCTTTGGACCTAGCTGCATCAACACGAGCTGTTGTTCGGGAACATGTTACTTGAGCCAGCCACAAGTGCAAACACGAGCATATTATGTCCAATGCCTGCAATTGCACAGGTTTAGTTTGATGTTCTCCCACATTCTACCTACACAGCGTGTATGTATGGAAAAGGGGGGGAAAGTTCCACTGGTCACCATCTTCGCCTCAGGAATTTCCACTGGGCACCCAAGTTAATGTCCAGGGCGGATCAGTCTGCAATCTATCGAAAAAGGCAGATGTCTCTAGCTACCAAGTAGTATCTGGCTGAGCCAAGGGTTTCATGTGTGAGATCCATTTTATATAGGACTAGTTGTTCTTTCCCTTATACTGAATGAGTAACTATAATTTGTTTCGACCACACCCATTTGAGATGGTCGGTAGCAAGGGTGATGTGCTGTGTTTTCCAACACCCTTCCGGTTAAGCCCGTAAGGGTCGTCCTGAGTCGGGTCGAACCTGAAGGGCCGCGGAGCTTCGCTCGAAGTGGCACCACTCCCATCCTTAACATGCCTGTCCTTTTAGATCTTCTACAAGGGGGTTGACCTTTTGCGTTGAAGTAGTCAATGAATCCCCCAGGAACCAAAGCAGCAAAGGGTATAAGCTTGTACCAAAGGGAGAGATACTTAAAACCAGCGCCATCGAACCCTTTCCTAAGGTACCATCCTTCCAATGAGCCGCCTTTGTAGTAATGCGCAAAGGACGACCATATCAGCACCCTCGTTCTTTGCTGCCAAGCGCAGGACCTGCCCCGGGCTGTGCAGCCATCCTGGGCTGTTGTGGAAGAGGCTTCCGGCCAAGCTTGTGCAAGTGAGCAAAGGTTGGAGAAAAATCAAAGGATCGGAAACAAAGACTCATTGATCTCGGTTAGAACCTAGAATAGAGTAAGTTTGTCCAAAAAACATATATAGGTTGTTTTTGTAGGTATTTGAGTGCTCCAACTTGTGTTTGGGGATATGGTTTCCAGATTCGGTGCACGGATCTCTCTCCTTTCAGGGCAGCTGGTGGAAAGCACCAGTCGACCATTCATCATCTCAATCAAATCATTCCCTTATTCTCCACGAAAGCTGCATCCGAACTTAGATTCTGTCATTCTGTCATGATGCAGCTGCATCCACCACTGCACGGTCATCAGCTAGCTTTCAAGCTGGGCGAAGCTTTTTGAAACTGTATGGGTCAAAATCGCCTTTGAATCTTGGGAGATGAAGATATTTGATTAAGGATCGTCAGTTCTTGGGTTTGGGGTCGGAACTTGAGCTGACACCACTCAGAATATCCTGGAATCCTGGCCCAAAAAAATCATTAAAAAAATTATCGAAGTGATTTGTGTGGGATAGTATCACTCTCTCACGTACCTTGTTTCTTTCAAACAGGGCACATCTGCCAAGGCCCTCAGATCCCTTGTCACCAGCAAAAACTAACTTCACACTCAAAACCTTCGGCCAATCAAACAAATGGGGATGGGCCGTTCAACCTGAAGCCCCAACACCAAGACATCATGGTTCGCTCCGAGGAAAAAGACCAGGTAGGTCCCGCCCGGTCGGTCTGGTGGGTTTGACCCACCAAGTCGGTTGCATGTCGGTGGTCTCCCCAAAAATATATTATCCTGGCAAGAGACCCCAAACAGTGAGTGTGAGGTCCAAAGGCAGAAAGTCTAGAGATCTAGACGCATTGGGGTGGGTCCAGAGAGGTGATGGTGGTGATGAAGGTGGGGATCGTGGTGACGGAGTGTGTGAGTGTGAGTGTGAGTGTGAGTGAGAGTGAGAGTGAGAGTGAGAGTGAGGGTGGAGTGAGGTGAGGGTGGAGTGAGGTGAGGGAGGAGTGAGGTGAGGTGAGGGTGGAGTGAGGTGCGGGTGGAGTGAGGTGAGGGTGGAGTGAGGTGAGGTGAGGGTGGAGTGAGG